GCAGGAAGGCTCTCTGATCTCCCTCAGCTTGCCTCGAATCGGGCCATAGATTTACACATGCAAAGGCATCCTGTCTTCTCTTCTACCAGGGAGCACAGAGGTTAGCCACTGAAGATAATTTTGAACTTTTATGGGCCTAGAGATGGCACTAGAGATATCTACATTAATAAACTTTGCACACTAGCTTTTATCTGCCGCTTATTTCCCTCCCAAGTAACAGCACCTGTAAACTCAAAGTCCTTCTCCTTTTGTCTTGTCACTTCTCTAAAAATTTACTGAATTATTCATTCTCTTGTGTCTCCCATGTATCTATGAGATAAATGCTTCTGTTTGTTTTTCCCTTGTCTTTTGTAACAGGGGTCCTTTCCAACTAAGAACCTATGAAGGCTATTTTTCTTCTACGGGTTTCTCAGGGTGTTGGAGCACCATAGCACTGTACCCTCAACTCTCACAAGATAAAAGAAAATGGAGACAAAAGAGAAGGACTGGGAGGCTCTTTCCTTGTTACTCAAAGCAGACATAACAAACAACTCTTATTTCTTATTCCTTTAATTTAATAAGCTCAACTAAAACCTACTGAAGTAGTCTTTCACCCACATATTATATAACCATTGATGTCTGGTTAAAATGACAACTCACTTCTCTGGAGGGTCCGTTAAGTATTCAGAATTAGATCTTAATGTAAAATAATGTATAACAAACATAAAACGTGTTCTTAAAGAAAAGAACTTTCTTTAATGTGGATTTTGTGTTCTTGGCAATAAAGCTTTATAACAACATTTAATCGTAAGAAACCCCTATCTAAGTTTGTTCAAGACTTCATAAAATATATAATTGATTCAAATCTCAGAACTGTAAAAAAGAAAAATATTTACAGAATATGAACAAAATAAGGTTTATAAATGTCTCAATCTGTTATAGCCAAAATACTAATAATGACAAAATGCAGAAAAAGAAAAGAAAAACAAGTCATTCATATTCTAATTCATTGATGTTGGTTTAGAGGCTTCAGATATCATTGGCCTAAATATATTCAAGTCTACTTGAACCTCTCTCTCCTGAAAAAACTAAATGTATGTTATTTATAAGGTAGGAAACACAATGTTTCATCCAGGATTTCCTGAGGATTTTTAGGATAATCTGATATTTCCTCCAGTGTAACATCTCTTCCTGCTTGCAAAAAATATTTTTGATCTTTCTTGTGTTTTCTCTATGCCTACATTTACCCTAATGTGGAAGGTAACCCTTCATTGACCAAATTATTCCTTCCACAAGGCATCTGAATTTTTTAAACCTTTCCTGAAGATTGAGATTCATAATAGTTCCTCATTGAACTGTTAAGAGGATAAAGAAATATTGTGCATGTAAGCTGCCCTAAATGTTGACTGTTATTATTTGTTCAGGGATAATGTCATGGAGTTATGTCACAGCAGATAAAATGAGATGAAATATTGGACACCTTGTTCTCTTGAAAAATTCTTTAGCCTGTTCAATTAAGATAATTTCTCTTTAGGTCAAACTTGCTTCCATAACCTTCTTATTTCTGTTTTCAACTAGTTGTCCACATCACCATTCCTGTGGACTTTTCTCAGGCAGAGGAACTTAGTCTTCCCTTCCCTTCCCTTCCCTTCCCTCTCTCTTTCTGCCTTTTCTTCTACCCTCTTTGCCTCCCTTCATTGCTCTCTTGTCTCTTGGCAACCTATGTCCAATGATGTGGTGGGAGGAGAGAGAGGATTGGGATCAGGTATGGGGCTAGGAATCTCCCGAGAGACCCTCTCATTTCCAGAACCAACAGACCCATGAAGGGGGGATGTTCTACTACTTAACAGCTGGAGTCAACTAGGCTGGTCAATTGTAAGATCAATAGTTAAAGTTATATCCAAATTATAACTCAATTTTGCTCAAAACTTTTAAGAACTGAAACATTAAGGAAGAAAGAATTGGATAGTATAAAAAATCATTCATATAAAACGAATGTAAATATTGCTCCACATTTAAATGAATTTTTAGAGATTTGTCATGTGTTAGTTTGCTAGGTTGCCTTAACCAATTACCACAAATTTAGTGGCTTAAAACAATTGAGATTGCTTCTCTCATAATTTCGGAGGCCAGAAGTCTGAAATCAAAATTTTGGAAAAACTGGACTCTATCTGAAGACTCTAGCAGAGAATTCTGCTTTTCTTCCAGCTTCTAGTAGCTCAGGAGTTCCTTGGTTTGTGGCTACATAACTTCAATCTCTGTTTCAATCTTTACGTGGCCTTGTTCTCTTTTCTTTTTAAGTATCTCTCATAAAGAAATGTATCACTGAATACAAGGCCCACCCTAATCCTGATAGCCTAAATTAATTGATCTGCAAAAACCATTTTTCCAAGTAAGGTCATATTCACTGATTCAAGTCGTTAGGATAGATACATCTTTTATGAGAGACACAAATCAACCTACTACTGCTTAGAAAATGGATAATAAACTAAGTTGGAAAAAAAATTTTTCTAGCAAAATTTTATCAATTTGGTGAAATTAGAATAAGTAGAAAATAGTAAAAAAAATAAAACTATTATTATATTTTGGCATATAGAATAATTTTAACAATGCTAACAACCTATTACATGAATTACAATAGTGAAATGAGAATAGCACCCTATAAAATTGAAAGCATCTTCTTTTTTCCATTAAGGTTATTCTTTATAGTATTATGTACGATTGCTGATACAGTTAGCAAATACTTTCATCACAGGTAAAATCAATTTAAGTTAATCATTTTTTAATGATCACAAATTAATTGTTTTAATTATAAAATATAGTGCATACATTTTAAAATTAAATAAGAAATTTCATAGTTAAGAAGGAAAATTACTTGAATTCACTTGGAGAATTGTTTTTTCAACACATATTTTTAATATTATTTCATATACTAGAGGAATACCCCAATCTGATCAGATTAAGAGAGGATAAGAGGATAGTAACCTCTTAAATCTTAACCTACACTATTTCAGGTGTTATCAGAATATCAGTAATTTCTAAATGATAGATAATCTAACTGAAATTATTTTTTATATCAGAAGATAATTCACACAAGAAACATGAAGTCTTTCATGCCTATATATCTAAGTTAAGTCTTGGTCTGAATAATTCTCAGCCACTCTCAGAATAAATCAGTAGACTATCATAATGTGCCTTTAATTATATTCATTAATATTCATTTGGAAAAAAATGTATCATAGTTTCTATTTCAAGAACAAAAGCTGGAACATTAAATTTTGCTTTGTCTAGATCACTCAGTTTGAGATTAACCTTTTCAAGACCTTTCTCTGAGGAGATCATTGTGTTTAAACAGTCTAGTTCTGAAATGTAACAAATTTGCTCTATTAAATTATAAACGATTTATCTAGGGAGTGTCCTATTTAGACCAAAAGTGAATGACTTTAACTTGGCCTAATAATTTGTCTCATTATCTTCCTTAGACTATAACAGTTGGGGAATTAATCAAATAGCATATCTGAAACAATTATCAACACAGGGTGTCCATGGTTTGACAGCCTCAGGCAAAATCATGAGAACTCCAGTTCCAACTTTCAGTCAACAATAACACAATCATGATTTTATTTAACACTCACTATGTGCCAGCCACTGTCAGCACCTTACATGCATTAACTTTGTAATACTCAAGACAGCTCTATCATTATCATCTCAATTTTATAGATGGGAAAACTGTGGAATAGAGAGTTAAATAGCTTTTAGTGAGAAAGGGACAAAGCCACAATATGAATTAGGTGGTTTGGCTCCAGGTTCCCCTCAAACCATTCATGGAATCTCTGCAGATGTCTTCCATATGTCCTCAAAAGTCAAACTTGCTCTTTAGTCCATCTCTGAACAACTCCCTCATGGATACCAGGGACTGCACTTTGTCAATGATTCTGGCATGGCTTCTCCTGTTGTCTCAAGATGGTAGGAGTCAATGTGGAACTCATGCTTCATCTCAGTGGCTTTGGCCGCTAGTAGAATATCTTCTCCTCATCCCAGTGACATTCACTTACTGAGACAAAACACAAGTGTATCTTGTGCCCTAGTTTCTACCTTGCTTTTGTTGCATTACTTCACCATTTGGCCCTCTATGTGAACTTAGACCTATCACTCTAGAAATGAAGCACAGTCACAATGGAGATAACAGGGGGCAGTAGGTAGTGCAGTAAAGAGGGAGAACAAGGTGAAGGATGGAGAGGGTGCGATGGCATATAGAGGAGTTCGAGCAGGGGGGGATGAGAGTTACTGTTGGCTGGGCCAGGTGGCTCATGCCTGTAATCCCAACACTTTGGGAGCCTGAGGTGGGAGGATCACTTGAGCCCAGGTGTTCGAGACCAGCCTAGGTAACATAGTGAGATCTTGTCTCTACAAAAACAAACAAACAAAAAAATGAACAAGGCATAGTCGTGTGTACCTATAGTCCTGGCTATTCAGGAGGCTGAAGTGGTAGGATCACCTGAGCCCTGGAGGTCCGGAATATGATGAGCCATGATCATGCCGCTGCAACTCCAGTCTGGGTGACAGAGTGAGAGTTCTCAACTCAAACAACAAAAAAAGAGTAACTATAATGTGTTAGTTGATGCGCTACCCATTTCATATGGGTAACTAAGTTAACCCCAACAATCTGAAGGGGCTATGCTAACTCAGTGACATTATTAGATCACCTAATAAAGCTAGAAAAAAAGTAGAGCAAAATTTCTAAACTTAATTTTGTAGGTCGGCTAGATTTTATAAATTTGGAATTTGAATATATAAAATTCATATACAACACATGATTCTGATAAAGTGGTTTATAAATTATATGTTTAGGAGGAATTGTAGTGTGAGAAACAGACTAAATAAAAATGAAGATAATTATAATACAATGTGCCAAGTGCTATCATGTATTGTTAGGTCTAGATGTGAAGGCTGAACTGAGTTTTCTTTTTTAGGGGAGAAGAAGCACATTTAAGTTTTATTCTAACTTTTTAACTTAATATTATATAAAATACATTTTTTCCTCAACCATAAAATGACTTGAAAATGCCATTTACATAGCTGCACAACACTCTTAGAGTTTAACTTTTCTGGTTTTTTCATTATAAATAATATTTATACATGTTAGATCGACTTTTTGATAATAATTTTTAGAATCGAAATGAACAAATACAGGAATATAAATTTTCTAGTACCTGATGCCAGCAGCTTCCAGAAAACATGTCACTTCATTACCCTAGGAGTAGTAGCCAGACAACAAAAAGTAGCATGGGCAAAGGCACAGAAGAAGGAGAACATATGGGAAATTTGGGGAAAGGGGCATGAAGGATTGTAGGCCAAGATCAAAGAAGTGGGAAGGATCCAGATGATGACAGGTACAGAGAAGCAAAAGAATCGATGTTAAGCAGCCCAGGTTTCAGCCTTGGATGGCACAGTCCTGTATATTACCAGAAGAGGAATCAGATGAAAGGAGTAGGCATCTGGGGAGAAAGAAGATATGCTCAGTTTTAAATACATACATTTATGTAATACATACATAAATTATGGATGGCACATCCAGATGGATATTTTAGATTTTCTGGTCTAGGACTCAGGAGGTTAGGACTTCGGATGTAGATTTGATAGTCATTATTATATGGTAAATTGCTGAAAACTGGTTGATCACTCAAAGTACATTCTGGGGAAAAGAAAACAAGACCACAGAGCTTTGGGAACAATATTAAGAAGAGTCTCATAATCCAGCTATTCTAAACTAAAAAATTTTGAAATATAAATAACTGTAATTTTGTGATAACTAACACTAATCATATAATCACATGATGTTCTGAATTTGTGTAGCACTAACTCTCATTTTCCGACTGACTCGTGTATACATATCAAGTGGATTTAAAATGCTGTAAGAGAGGGACCCAATAATTTTGTCTTTAAAATATACATTTGGGATTTTAGAAATTCAATTTTACTCTAAAACAGAAAAATTTATAATAAATTAGAATAGTAACATGATACATACACTCATCTCAAGAACCAGGAATTTGAAGTAATTACCAAATTTTGAGAAATTAGTGTAATTTTGCTATTCTCTAGCCAGCAGGCAATCACAAAAAATAAAAAAAAAGCCTCCCCCTCCCATCCCCCATGCTTAAAGATACTTTTTCTTCAAGGAGAACCTATCTAAATGATGTAGATTTGTATACTTTGCCACCTTGTGGTCATTGTGGTTCCTTGCATGACTCTATCCGGTTGAGGCTTGAAGATTTTCCTGTTAAAATGGCTAGATGTTCTTACAAACAGTATTTGATAAACGACAATACCAGTAAAAAATATGTTAGAATAAACTTGAACAACTTTGACAAAAAGATGACCATGCCCAAGATGAATGCCTATTTGATGACTCTATTATTGATTGATATGTTTGACTGATAACCTTTTTTGAACCTTTCTTAAATATTTTTCCACACGTTGCTACAGTAATTATTTTGACACAGAATACATGTTAATAAAAATAAAAAATAGCTATTATAGTTTTTAAGATTCACTACATATTTAAAACAGAAAATAAAACTCATGACTTCATATATATGGACCACAGAAATAAATAAATAATAGTCTGCAAAACTAAAAGCAAAGCACCCATGAACACTTAAGCTAATCTCTAGCTTCTGTATTTTCTGATACAATCCATAAGAAACAAATGCGCAGAAGAAATAATTTTAAAAGTATCTCTAGACAAGCAGTAGCGATTGCCAGATAACTGATATGGTACAGATGCATTTTTAAGATGTTTGGATTACTTGCAGGATAATGATTACTGCATATTTGGCATATGTTTTGTTTCATCTTCTGATTTCTTTTCACACAAGATTTAATATTTTCTATTTTTGTAAATCTACAAAATATTTGAGCATTTGTCTTAAATGCTACTCAGAGAGCCTCATCACGGTTTTATTGGTCTTTCTTAAGCATAGACAGTGAGGTTTTGCCATTCCAAGTCAGTAGTTCCTTATCTCTTGAGACAATAAACTGGGTTATCTGAGTAAAAGATACAAGACATAGTCATCATTGAGCTGAATTTTGTTTCTCACAATGCAAGAGATGCCATTAACATTTAGCAAGATGAACAGCTAGACTTAACTTCCTTAATTTTTTGTTCGTTAACAATACTCTACATTTAGTATTCAGTTAAGCTCTGGTGATACGGTTGAGAGAGGACATATTGACTCATGTTATTCAGTTGAAGGTATTTGCCGTATAGACATTCCCCCAGTGAGAAGCCATGTACAAAACTCTTGAACACATGCAGGCTTGACTATATAAGGTAAATGTATAAAGACATAATTGTCATTCTATTGCTATTACTAGAAAACCAACACAAATTTATAGGTGCTACCAATGCTTAGTCTTTAGCAACTATTCTAAATGATGGGCTCTCAAAAATTATTTTTGTTCATGTGTCCAGTAAAGGACCAATGCCCATCAGAATTATCAAGTAGCCAAGACACACAAGCTTCTGCCACTTATTGTTCCCAATTATACACAAACTTTAGATTGTGGGGAGAGGACATATTGTCCTTTGCTATATGTTGGAAAGCAATTTTAGTGTCTTGTTAAACTTTAACTGCATTGGGAGGGAAGAGTTTTTTCTCATCGAATGAAGAGGCTTTACCTATGCAACAAGGATGGCCACAGAAGGGATACTTTCGGAAACATAAGGATAAAAAAGAGAATAAAAGGTCAGCTTTCTTCACATACTGGGGAGATTTGATGCAAAAATATGACTTCCTTCACATGTAAGTCACATTATATATAATATAATAAAAAATAGTTTCCATTCAAAAGACATCTTGATTCAAATGAAAGCTAGATTTAAATTCCAGCTGGACTATTTCCTATCTAGACAAGTTATTCAATCTCTTCAAATCTCAACTTCCTCATATGTAATATAAAAATAATGATAAATTACCTCAAATGAACTCATAAATGTTAAATAGAAAATACAAAAAATTACACAAGTTAAGACAAACCATGGTGGCTCATGCCTGTAATCCCAGTGCTTTTAGAGGCTGAGGCAGGAGGACTGCTTGGGACCAGGAGTTGGAAACCAGCCTGGCAACATAGTGATATCCTACCTCTACTTAATTTTTTAAAAATACACAAATTAGTCAGAATAGGATAGGCTAATGCCATGGCAACAAATAAACCCCAAGGTCTCAGTGGCTTAACACAAAAAAAGCACTATCCCCATTATCCTTTCAAAATTCCAATACCCTTTAAAACTTTTCACGTTCACATATTCATGTAAATTTACATGGTGACACAAGTTTTTAATAAATGCTCTTTTCCTCTCTTTTGAGACGCTATCCATTTCCCTCCCACTCAAGAAAAGCATGCAAATTGGAAACGGAGTGACATTCTTAAAATAAACTTAAGTCTGTTCTAATTTCCTTAAAATGTACACCATTTGACCACATAAGTAATTATTGACAGTACATTACTAGTGATGCAACTTTGACCCAAGGCCATGAGCCAGTGAGTTTTGATTCACAGAATAAGAACCCCTATCTGCAGACTTTATCAGAAAAGTTAGGTGGAAATGGAAAAAGTTATTTAATATAGAACATATTTCTCCAGCTACCCATGTTGCTACTTAATGTTACAAGACAAAGTGGTGTGTGTGAATTTTCAGTTTCCTAATGATATTTGTATATGCAGTAAGTCAAATTGCAGCATTCAATAAATCCCATGTTCTTATTCAGAACAAATTATAGTGCACGCAAATTTATTTTTCTTTCTCTGGTCTCACTTCAAATCAGGTAGCTATTATAAATAATACAAAACAAACACTTTATTTTGGAAAATTATAGAAAATAGCATCACCTCTTAGAATGTTACAGAAATGTGTGGCTATTTGAAAACCCTAAATCAAAACTCCTTTGAATTAGTATCCAATGGACATAGGAGAAGCAAGACTGGGGTTTTATCACCTTTTCTGATTTATTTAATGCTAAGGTAGATGTTTCATTATATATTAAGCATAGTTATAGAAATATATAGACAAGCAAGACCATATATTACTCCCATCAGGACAGTAGAGGTAATGGTTAAATTGCCATAACAGTTTATTTTTAATAAAAAAAATTAAGTCTTGAGTGACAGACTCAGAGTTGATAAAACACATTGTTGGAGGCTTACAGATGCATTTATCAGGATTTACTTAAGCATTCTTTATTGACTTTAATACCAAGTAATACTAGCAATAGATGCCATTGGTTATCTGTCTGCTACACACTCTGCTGGGAGCTGCTCTCTGCTCTACTTCACATAGTCACAAGCTCTTAGCTTCGTTTTACAAAAGAAGAAACTGATGTTCAAAGAAATAAAGATAGAATATGATAGAACCAAGCTTGAAATTCAGGTCTGTTTGCTTCCAAGATTTTTCTTTTCCACGCATTTTCTCAATAAGCATTTTCAGGTCCCTGTTCCAGGTGCATGATAATTCTTAGCATTTTTATATCTATCTCCTAAAATTGTTTAATGCAAGCCTCTTGTTGTGCAGATATGAAAACCGAGGTCATCTGAGGTTTCCTAAATATACTCAACCACATATCAACAGAGCCAAACCTAAATTCTGAAGTTACAGATGCCCCATACAATGTTCCCTTATGGTTGTTCCAAACTACAGGCATCAAGCAACTGAAGATTAGAAAATTGGAAGCCAGAATCCAAGAGTAAGCCATTCATAGAGTAGTCAGAGAAAAAGAGAGGGGGAATGCAAAAAGCTCAGAGAGATGCAGAAAGCAGATAAACTGAGAATGAGGTACAGACACACATTTATCTGAATGCTGAAACTCTGAAATGATGCAGAAAGTAGAGGAGATGCTCACAGTCCGAAAATAAGAAGACCCAGAAAAGCACTCATCATTGCCAGGTATGAGTGGCCAGCAGATTGTGACTGAGCAGATCAAACTGCTAAACTTACCCAGAATTCTGTGGTGTGGCGGTCAGTCAACAACAGTAGTTTGGAAATACAGTAGCAAGATCAACCTACTTCCCACTGCTCATCTTCATCTCTGCCTTTCTTTTCAGTTTCCTGTATTTGTATACTTTTTGTCTCCCATTGAATTATTGCTGTTCAGGACCATGAAATTTCTGACCTATATTGTAGCCTGGCTACAAATTATTTCCTGCACATTTCCCACACTGGCTACAAATTATTTCCCACACAAATTATTTGGAATGCCTTTCTAAGTGCAAATGAGGTCATGGAGTTCCCTCAGTTTTCCTTCGAATGTCACAGGGAAACATCCATGGTCTGGATTTGGCCTACATCTATGATTTCCCTCATACCATATCTTCAAGTGTTGTGGTAAATATTATCTCTCCCTTGAGACCTTGTTAAAACTTTTGTTCCTCCAGATGAAGACACATATTCCTGAATTTTAGCCTTCCCTCTCTCCTATATCTTTTGCAACTGTGTCTC